TGCCTGTTTAATGCCGTATAGGGATTTTCGGAGACGGCAAATGCTCGGTGGGTTAGTAGTATAGGAATGCGGGTACTCTACCAGGATAAGTGCGTCGATTTGTCGAAGTCGGAGATTACGGCAGGCGGCGACACAAAGTAGAATCCGAACGCTTGTATGTCGGCCGACAGGAGCAAAAGTTAATTCGTAGTCGATTCCGTAAGTCTGTTCGAACCCGCGGACGACCCATCGCGCCTTGAATTTCTCAAACGACCCATCTGCATTAGTCTTGACGCGGAAGACCCATTTTCCGGTAAGTACCTTCTTCCCTTTTACTTCTGAAGTCGGTATTAAATCTCATGTGCCACGATTCTTGAGTGCTGCTAGCTCCTTGTCCATGGCTTCGCGCCATTTTTCTCGGTGAGGACTCATAAGAGCTTGTCGAACGGTTTTCGGTTCAGGTATTTTACTGTCGTTGTACTGTACTGCGACTGCGAACCCTAGTATCTGTAATCCTGTTTCTGTAAAGCGCGGACGTTCTTCGTTTGCACCTGCGAAATTTTCTTCTGGTCCTTCTTCCCCCCCAATTTCGTCAGGTGTAACACGAATCGCTTCGTCGGAGACGATGGGCATCGGCTGCTGTTGGCGATCGCGTTCGTAACTGAGATGAACTTCGCGAACATCATCCTGGTCAGCATCTGCAAGAGGAATGAATTCAGGTATGCCGGTCGAGGTGACAGGTTCGGGAATGTCTGTTGCGGTAGCTTCGGAAGCTTCAGAAACATCCTCGTCCTGTACATCAGCTTCGGCTTCGTCAGTTGCAAATGCACGCGAGCCTTCGAATAGCCTGGCAGGGTTGGCAGCTGCTGCCTGGTGGGCACGAAAAACGGGCAAGGTGAGTCTTTCATAGAAAAGACAATCACGTGATGGAACGATTTGGTTGGACCGGAGATCCAAAATCTTCCACGCGTGATATTGTTTTTCGATGCCAAGATGTACCCCCCATTTTGCTCGTTCGGAAAATTTTCCGAGAGCAGCGGTTGGAGGACGAAACTGTACAACACACCCGAAAACTCGTAAAAGTTTTGTGCTCCCCACTGTACGTGTCCATTGCAGGTGCGGAGAGGAAAACTCGGGCAGGGACGTTGAGGAAAGAAGATTGTGTAACAGCACGGTGTGGTCCATCACGTACGGCAAAAAATGCGGTGGAAGGGCTGCCTGCGTCAGCAGAGCACGCATCTTCCCCTGTAGAGTTATGTTCATCCGTTCTGCTACCCCCATCTGTTGGTGTGCATGAGGCAGTGACTGCTTTCGTTTGATGGCGAGTGTCTGCAGGTACTATGTGAAAGTATTGCTGGTGTACTCCCCTGCACCATCACTTTGAAATTCTTGCAGTTTCACTCCTGACTCTCGTTCAGCCACAGCGAGCCATGCGACGAAGACGGAGTGAGCGAGATGGCGCGCAGGTAAGTTGGTTGTCCAGACATAGCGTGTAGACGCTTCGATGAAGGTTATCACATACTTTTCGTCTTTAGGTCCTGCTTCAGACAAGTTGAGTATGTCGCTATAGACTTTCTGCATCAGTTTATAACGGGTTGAGCCGGGAAAATGACTTGGAAACGGATCGTGTGTAAGGTTGGCAACTGGACAAGTGGTGCAAACCGTCGGACGAGACTGCGGCTTCATCTCCGTGCCATCAGGTAAAAGTAAACTATTTTTATCAAGAACTGCTGCTCGGATTGAATGATTAAGAATCCCTTGACGGATGTCCTAACCGCTGATGCCATATATCTTCTGTGGTTTTGTGTCCTGATGATCGCAGGTAGAAATCGGAGTTAGTATAAAAGGAAGAAAGAATGAAAGGAGAAAGTGCTGGTGACTTGTCAATTTCTCCTTCGATGAAACGGGTAAGAGGTAAAGTGACATTTGCTGGTGCTGCTGCAGTTGCGAGTATAACTTTTGATACTGCTTCTGTTGATGTCGTGGCAGGTATTTCGGCGACAGCTACTGTTGTACTCGGCTGCTCAGCTACTGCTTCCTGTTCGGCTTCTTCAACAACGTCAGGTTCATCAACTGCAAGACCACTTATCTCTCCCCAAAGTGGTGCTGGAGTTCCTTGAAAAGCTGCACGGGTATTATAAAACGTTCGCCACGCAGTGGCGCTTTCATCGGCGGTATTGAACTCCCAGGTATCCAACGCGGTAAGTACGGCGGCTGCTGTTCGAGAAGCTGTTGGTACTGTAGTTGCTCGAAAGTCAATATCCACGTTTTGATAATCTGTTTCTTCTGGGTGATCCCAGGGACCAAGTGCAAGCACACGTTCAGAATCTCCAGAAGTTCCTTGTGCTACGAACTGAAGAACGGATACGCCATGTTGAGTGGCGGCACGACCAAGATAAGTATTCGTCGAACTGTGCCAGAGCTCCTGATCCATCGTGTCACAATTGCCCTGTGTGCGGATTTTGTGTGCCAGGAGTTGAGCCGTGGAAAGAAGATTGAAGCCAAGACCAGCAACAATAAGAACATTAGTAACATGAAGTGAGTATCCCGTGTCGATAGATTCGAGCATGACACTTCCGACTTCTCGTGCCATAATGGTTTGTCCGCTTGCGACTGTTACAGGTATCGGACGACGAAGTGGACGTTGATTGGTAATGAAGCTTGTTTCTGCTGAGCACATGTGCCATCCGCAGCAACTGTCGAGATACCAGGTATTCGGACCTGAAATTATACGAGCGAGGTTAGCGTAAACTTGAGGTAAAGGAATGCCTTCAGCACTTGTGGTTTCTTCAAGTTGTGTCTCGAAATCTGTTTCTGAAACATCAACTGTTGTAACACATCCGAAAACTCCTTTTCCTGATGTGGCAGATGCGAAGACCAGCGGGCGATGCTGCGACGTTGATGAATTCTGCGACGGTTTCGTCATCTGCTGCTGCTGTGGCTGTTGTGTCTTCGGTAAATGCTGCGATCGGTGATACGGCTGCGAAGTGCTGCGACGAGGTTGATGACGGCTGCGACAGTTTTGGTAAGTATGTCCTGGTTTTTTACAGAAGTGGCAGAATGGATACTTCGGTGGATGTCGATGCTGTGTTTCTGGATTGGAGTAAAAAGTCAAGTGTAGTCCCTTTTTCTGATTGCGTTGTGACTGCAGGTCAAGATCTTGCTGCTCTGCTTGAAGATAAGAAGAAATTTCAGCTTCGGAGAGATTGGGATTCATGCGCAGGAAGACGCGCGTTTGTCGCCATTCAGGTCCAAGACCAGCCAGAAGGACCGTGAGATACATCTCACGAGGGAAGTATCCCCCACTTTTCTCCAGTTGATCGCGTAGTGTACGGACACGGTTAACGTAGTCCATGACGTTTTCATTTGTCATCATCTGCACACTTGTCAGCTGCGAAAGTATTTTACTCACTGTTATCGTATCCTTTGCCATGTATACCCCTTTCAGATGGTTCCATGCAATTTCGGCTGGTGTGAAACTTGACTGAAATGATCGAACGCCGAGCTGCTCCTTTGGCGACAAGTTCCGTACAAGAACTGTATACGCCCCGAGAGAGGCGTGCAAGAAACTCTACTGCTCCAGTTGTGTTCCCACGACAGGATACGTAAACTCGCCAGTGAAGAACGGCCATAGCCCAGCGAACGAACCAGTACTTGGAGCTGTAGCTCCACGCATGTAACTTGAGCCGTCAAGGCTCATTCCACTGAACGCAGATGAAATCGATTGCGTTGAAACTGGTGGCTGTACTGACGCTTGCTGTTGTGCTGTTGTTTCTGATTGTTGCTGTTGCGCTGTAGGTGCAGTCGATGGAGCACCTGGAGTATTCACAGAAGGCGGATTCTGCTGTTGCATACCGATATTAGCGTAGGCTGGTGGAAAGTGCCCAGAGGCTGAGAGACCAGCGGCGGTAGTGGAGGCATGTGCTCCAGTAGTCCCAGTAACTGATCCAGCAGATGGTGCTGGTGTTGAACCAGTCATAGTTGACGGTAGTCTTACTTCCAGATAGCTCTCATACCATGAAATAGATCGACAGGTGTTGTAGTAGACTAAGTATAAAACTATAAACACGAACACTTGGCAAATCCTCAAGTGTTGGTCCAGGATCTTTGCTGGAATGGTAGACTAGTAAGACAGCGGAAGTCTTGTAAAATGTAATAGTCAAGGTTGAATAACCTGAGTATGTGAACTTGTGGGTAATCAAAGTTAATAATGAAAAGACCTAACAAGTATGTATAGTTCTACGAAAAGTACCTATTCGCTAATGTACCTGTTCGTCACTATCGCGCTATGCGCCCTAGATGATAATGAAGGGGTGCGACTGTTCGCGTGACTGAAACGACTGTCCTATGACGAGCGCTATTTGCTGATGTGACGTCATCCTACGGACTTATCTTCTACAGTATGATTCGACACTAACTAAACTTAATCGACTTACAGAAATGCGAAGTATCAATTATATCACAACAGCACCAACAGTTGCCAACTAGCCTAGTTGGGAAACTTGACGGTTCTAGACGAAAATATACGCCTTGTCTGATGCTTCAGATGAAACACTATCCTTGTCTGATTTTGCATATGGAAAAAAAAACAATCGGTCTTAATGTTCAGATGAGAAAAAACCAAAGGTCTGGGTTTTGAGATGGAACTACAAAATCCGGTCTGTTTTTTCAAACCATCAGACCAATTTCGTCTGATGTCAGGGGCCCTGATCGGACCATGCATTTAGTTTGAAGGTATGTATGACCAGCTTGTGCGTGCAATTTCAACTTGGCACCGAGCCTTATGCTTCTAGGGTGAGCTAAGGGATGGTTGGTTGGCTTGGCTTATTTCTATGGCTTGCTTGCATGCATAAAATAAACAATGGATTTTTAAAATACATAGGAGATCCTTAGGAAATCCTATTAACGATTCCACCCTTCTGCACCATTTCGGCTTGTGTCGCGCGCTGGTCCAGAATCTGAGCCACATCGATTTCATCCCGCCGCTTGTTCATCGATTTCAGTTCCGGTCTGTCATCGCGTTTCCCTTCCAGCATACAGTACCAGACATCCCAAACTTGTCGAATGCACGGCAGCACGACGCCAATCCGACAGCTGGCGTGATGGGTAGCTCGCTACGACCGTCGAGATCTCACGCCCGAGCGTGCTTACTCCCGTAGCGGAGCGCACTGTAGCGGGGAAGCCCAGCCATGGCGTCGTCGTTCATGTCGCAGGTGCGCCAGCTGCCTCGCTGTCCTCGTGGCCCCAGGCGTGTCGTGCGCCGCCCCTACCCGTCGTGCTCGCATGGGCGTTCGCTGCCCTGCAGACGCGCCGGAAATCGAGTGCTGGCCTCTAGTTTCTCTCGGAGAGAATGGCGTCGGTCGATAGCCCTCCTCCCGCCGCTGTCCATCGGCCATCCCCGCCTGATCCGCCTCCCGTCGCGTCACTCCCCTCCTCCCAGCCTCCGCTAGCCGCGCGACTCCCACATTCGCCTCCACTAGCCGCGCGACTCCCACATCCGCCTCGCGAATGGAATGCCAGGCTCGTCGCCGGCTCTTGGCCTCCCGACGCCCCTTTTCTGTGACGCCTCTCCCCGGGCTTTTCTGCTCTCCAGCCCTCCACTCACTACCAACCTCTGCTCACCCCTCCCTTCTCTTGATCCCCCCCCCCCCCCCCCCCCCCCCCCCCCCTCCCCACCCCCCCTCTCCCCCGCCTCCCCCAGGTCCTCCTGCGCGTGCTCCGCGCGTACATCCGCGACGCCGACGGCGCTGCTGCGTCCGACCTCCGCCTCTCGCTCTCGGGGGGGTCCCTCACGCTCAGAAACTTCGAGCTCAACCTGCCAGGTGAATTCAACAGACGAACGTGAAAGGCCGAGTCCCGTCGACATGCTCCCTTGCAAGACAGGTGAAGGCGCTGGGCTTCCGGCTGCGTGTCGTTGAACCACCGGAGCCGCATCTCTCCTCACCTCACTCACTCGGTTTCCACACACCCTCTTTGGTCGCGCGTCTGTCCTCTTGCTCCCATCCCCACACTTCCTATCCTTCATTCTGAACTGTGTGGAGTATCATGGTCCGCACGGTTGAGTCCTCAATAACAATGCACTCGTCCCTCCCAACCAACCCCCACCTCCCCCTCAGCCCCGCCGCACATCCCTCTGGCCGTGCGGCGGGCGGGCGGGCGTGGGCTCATTGCATGTGAGCGCGCATCGCGTTGGCCCGCTGCCCTCTCAGGCCCGCCACGCGTCCCATCCTCCCCCCCCACAATCACCCCCCAGTCCCCCGGCACATCCCCCTCACCGTGCGGCGGGCACGCGTGGCGTCGCTGCACCTGAGCATCCCGTGGGCAGCGCTGGGGTCGCAGCCGGTCACCGTGGCGCTGGATGGCGTGCACGTGCACGTGGAGGAGGGGGGGGGGGGAGGGGGAGGGGGGGAGTGCAGACGAGGAGAGGGGAAGGGGCGAATGGAGCCGTGGGAGAGAGGAGGGGGCTGGGGAGAAAGGGGGTGGCGATAGGCGAGAGGGCGGGAAGGGAGCAGAAGAGGATGGGGGGGGAGATGGTGATGGTGAGGGCGCGCAGGAGGATGACGGCAGAGGGAACGCGGGCGGCGGTGATGGCAGCGACACGGAATCGCACTCGTCGCACGGCAGCACGGGCAGCAGTGGCAGCAGCGGCAGCAGGGGCGGCGAGGCGGCGCATGCGAGGGAGGAGGTGGAGGAGCTGATGGCGCTGGGGGGAGTCTGGTCGTTCCTGCAGGCCACGCTGCTCAACGCCTCTGTGACTGTAACGAACGTGCACCTCAAGTACATGACGCCCTCTGCTGTGGTGTCGCTGGGGTGGTCCCAGCTGGACCTCTTCTCCGCTGCCGACGACTGGACCAAAGCCTTCGTGGTGCGTGCTGACACTCAGTCCCGGCAGCATTGCTTCCTGAGTTGACTCCTGGGCACACGTGCTTGCCGACACCCAAGCATGCATGTCACTAGTGCCGCCATGCTTGGAATCCGTCCGTGCCACTGCAGATTGCTTCGTTCTTGCCTCTGCTTGCCTCTGCTTGCCTCTGCTCGTTGTAACATCCCACTGCGCCCTCCCACCTGGGCACGCCCCTTACTTCTGCGCCTCTTCGCCTTGCCTGCGAAATACACAACTTGATCTCACGTGACGTCCTTCCCAGCCACCAGAGGAAGGTGTGAGGAAGGTTCTGGAGGTCAATGGCCTGTCTGTGGATGTGGCAAGTGCTTCCAGCCAATCACAGAACATCACATATCGTGCAAATCAAGGTAAGTGAAAGTAGGGCTATTCCGTGGCCTGCAGCTCGATCCATGCGTGGCTCTTTCTCGTTTGTGCTGCTTGCCTGGCGTCGCCACCATTTCATCTCCCTCCGTTCCATTGAGCTCACACGAACCTCTTCATCCGCTGTCGAGCAGCGAGGGTCGACTTCTCTCACCATCCTCTGCGCCTCTCCATCGGACCACCGCCTGCCCACCATTTCCCTCACTAATCTCATGCTCTCGTCCTCCAAACCGTGCCTGCTGCCCCGCCCCCCAGTGCCGCTCCTCCCCAGCGTCTGCCTCACCTCCCGCCTCGCCATCACTCCGCCCTGCCCCGCCCTCTCCCTCCCCCAGCGCGCCTGCCTCTCCCTCCGCCTCCTGCCCCTCGCCCTCTCCGCCCGCCCCTCTCAGCTCTCTGCGCTGCTGAGCGCCGTGGGGCGAAGCAGGGAGGTGTGGGGGGGCAGCGTGGAGGCAGAGGGCGCAGGGGCGGGTGAAGTGGGGGACGAGGCAGGAGTGGGAGCAGGGGGAGTAGCGGGAAGGTCAATGGGAGAGAAGGCGCGCGAGGTGGAGGAGGGAAACGCCCTTGTTGACGGAGGAGGTGGCCGCGAGGATGCGCACGGAGGAACAAGCGAAGCAGCTGAGAAGCTTCTAGTAGGAGAGCAGGGGCAGAGGGAAAGGGGTGCGGGTGCGAGGGAGAAGGCAGAGCGAGTGGTGGATGAGGGCCGCGAGGGGGGGCAGGTGCAGCTTGAAGAGCCAAAGCAGGTAGACGAGGCACAGCAGGTGCATGTGAAGCGCGGCGTGTTGCACAGCATGGGGCGCGCGATAGGGTGGGTGCAGAGCCTGTTCGCGGACGAGGACGAGGACGAGGAGAGCGCAGGCCACGGCATGGCAGCAGTGGGGCGTGGAGAAGCGTCGGTCAGAGCAGCAGCATCGGGTGGTGGTAGGGACGTGAGGGGGGCGGAGGGCAGTGAGATTTGGGAGTGGGGCACAGGCTATGAGGCTGGAGTGCACTTTGACGTGGCGGCTACTGATTGGTCCGTGGCTGTGCTTCTGGAGGGCGCTGAGCTGGCTCTTGTGAGCAAGTGCAACGGGGGTAGCAGGGGCGGCGCATCTTCTTGTCCCACGGGCGATGCAGGCAGCGCAGAGGATGGCCAGGACGCACCAGCATTGCCTCGCCCGGACACGGCTCATCCCAGCCCACCCTTCCGTCCGAACCTGGTGTGCAGGCTCGGGGCCGTCCTGGTGGAGTCGGAGGGAAGAGGCACAACCGTGGAGGCAGCCAGTGTGAAGCTGGGGCCGCTGGCAGTGTCTGTGGCAGTGCCAGGGGGGAGCAGTTCAGGTGTCCCGTCAGGTGTAGGGGTTGGTTCAGGTGCTTCTGATGCTGGTGCAGCTGAACCCTCACCGCTTCTGCCTCTTCTCCAGCTGCACACGCGGCAGCAGGCAGGGCAGGTAGGGGCGGCAGCAGCGGGTGGGCCAGCAGACAGCAGTGTGGGATCGTTTGACTGCCTGCAGGTGCCCTTGCTGCACTCGCTGGCTCCGCTGGGGGGTGGGCAGGCGGACAAGACAGCAGCAAGCAGAGCAGACAGGAAGGGCGGGGGGGGGGCGGGTAGGAGAGGGGCAGCAAGGGGTGGTGGGGCCAACAGAGGGGACAACAGGGATGATGAGGGAAGGGGGGTGGAGTGTGAGGAGGGGTGGAGTGTGGAGGGAGTGTGGTGGCGGGGGGTGCGGGTGGCGGAGGCGTTTGAAGCCTCGCAGGCTGCTGGGCCTCTGGGGCTCACTGCTGACGTCAGCCTCTCCCTGCACGTGGGACACGTGGCAGTCTCCTATTGGCCAGGCATGGCCAGCAGTGTGGTGCAATGGTGGCAGGAGGTGGAGGCATTGGGTGGAGGGGAGGGGATGGGAGGAGATGTGAGAAGGGCGGGGTGGGCAAGGCAAGAGGAGTCCATTGTTTCAGGCAAAGCGCCCAGCGCCTCTGTCCCTGCCTCCACTGCCTCTCACGCCTCCCCTCAATCTTCCCCAAGCCCTAATCGCTGGCTGGCGAGCCTCACTTGTGTGAGCAGCGCGGAGGTGGTTGTGGATGGTGTGGCAGTGAGGGTGCGCGCTGGCAGCGCAGGGGACAGCGTCACGCGCGCTGGCAGCAGTGACATAGAGGGGCGCAGAGAGCGGATTGGGGGAGCGAGTGTGGGTGTAAGCACGGGGCGAGTGGCGGTGTGGAAGAGGCCTGCGAGATGGGTGGGGGAGGGGGGCAGGGCGTGTGAGGGCAGCAGGGTGCGGCTGGTGCTGACGCTGCAGGCACACATGGAGTCGGTGGAGGACGGCCAGGTGACTGCATGTGCATTATCGTGTGGCACTGCTGCTCCTTGCTGCGCGCATCACATGCATCACTCCATGAGCCTGCATATCGTCCCGTACTTGCGTCAAAACACGACATTCTCTGCCGCTGTCACCTTGCCTATCACCACCTTCATTCCCTGCTGCTTCTCTCTTTCCCTGCCTCCCAGCACCTCCCTCGCACTCCTCGCCTTCATTCTGTGAGTCTCAGCTGCAGCACCTTGTTTGGCCTCACCACATATCCACATCATTCTCTCCTCATGCTCTTGTGTGATCTTGTCTTCTGCTGTCGTCCACCCCATCTTGCTCCAATCTTGCCTCTTTTCACCTTCCCTCCCCTCCCCCCCCATCTCTGCCTATCGCAGCTCTGCTCTGCTGTGCTTCTCCAGCCGGCCTCTCTCCGTGCGGACTGCACGTGGGCCGCGGCCCCTCCCCTGCCACACCCTGCTGTGGCACCAGCAGCACCAGCAGCCCCCGAGCGCGAGCCATCAGCAGCACCAAGTGGAGCAGCAGAAGCAGCCGCTTTGCCACGTGCATTTGAGTCAGGTGCTGCTGGAGTGGCAGGGAGTGCTGGGGGGAGCGCTATGAGTGGGGAGGAAGGCTGGCAGCATGGGGCACACGGGGAGTGTGGGAGCCGGGGTGAGGCCACCATGGATGCGTTCCGCCTGCATGTATCGCGCGCCCAGGCCGCGGCTGTGCTGGCCATGGGTGCCGCCATGCTCAGGGATGTGGGCTGCCAGGCACACTGTGGTGGGCATGGTGCTGTGGCTGCCGTGGCGCCAACTGGTCAGCTGCAATCCGCCACGGGGGGCTCAAGTGCACGAGTGCAGGCAGCAGCAGCGGTGCCAGCGGTGCCACCAAGCAAGCTGTGGGGATTGACTAAGCACTCATATGTCTTGGAGGCCGCTGCTGACATCATGTCGACATGGAGCCATGTGCCACCATCATCATCATCATCATCATCACCATCATCATCATCATCATCATCATCATCATCACCATCAGCAGAAGCCCCTCATGACTCCCCATGGTGCTGCCAGCACCTGCAGCAGCAGCTGGGTGCTTTCTGCCACGTCACAGCGTGCGGTGTGTCGCTGGCAGTGGGATGGCATGGCCTGCAGTCAGAAGCTGCCAGCCCCGCACAGCATGACAGCGCACCACAGCATGAGAGCGCGCCACAGCAGGGGGGGCCTGGGCATGGAGGACATGTGTCGCTGCGAGCAGCCGTGCAGTCCTTATCTGTGGAGGCGCTGCATGCCATCAGGTGTGTGTGCTGCATGCCATCAGGTGTGTGTGCTGCATGCCATCACGTGTGTGTGCTGCATGCCATCAGGTGTGTGTGCTACATGCCATCAGGTGTGTGTGCTACATGCCATCAGGTGTGTGTGCTACTGCCACATATATATCAAATGACACACTTGTGTCTTGTGCTGGCTCGGCGCGCGTGTCTGGTGCTTGTAGCGTTCACCCCGCCACACGGCACAGCTTCTCCTTCGGTGGGAACTAGGGCAGCGCTCACTCAGGGCAGTGTGTCTGCTGGCCCGCCTGCCTGCATGCGTCCACTTACCAAAAAAGACGTTGATTTTTTCGCCCATCCCTCACATGCCTATCCCTCCCTCACTGCCACGACCATCCCTCCCAGCTTCGCGCTGCAGCCGTTCCCCGCCACATCCACGGCCTTGTTCGTCTCAACTCACCCATGGCTGAGCCCGGCAGCGCTGCCACCCGCCACTCGCGCCACAGCAGCACAGCAGGGGCACCCCGGCAGCAGCGGCGCTGCAGCGCATGGCGGCCCCACGGTGCACGTGGGTGACGTCATGCTGGTGGCGTGGGCGGACCCTCTTCTGCACCTCCACGCGCTGCTGGCTGCTGGCGTGGCGGGGAGAACGCACCAGGGAGAGGTGGAGAGAGGCCGGGGTAGGTCGGATGGAGAGGCGCGAGGAGCAGGGGCGAGCAGAGACGGGAGGAGTAGCGGAGGAGGTGAGGGAGGGGGGGCCGGGCTGGCAAGTGGGAGAGTGGGAGCAGTAGCACAGTCTACGGCAGGGCTGGGCGCGGTGCATGCAGTGGTGGGGAGGGGCAGCATGTGCCTGGTGGCTGGCCCTGTGAGGGACGCTGCCAAGGGCCGTGTGAGGGGACACAGGAGCAGCAGCGCGCACAGTGAGGGGGAGTGGGGGGGGGTTGGTGGGAAGGGCAGAGAGGGCGACGAGGGAGGTGCTGGGGTGAGGAGGAAAGGCATGGCAGGGCTTGGCGTGTGGGTGGCACTGGGGCGGGTGAGCGTGAGAGAGCTCTCTCTGAGCCTGGGGGGAGGGCGCGCAGGGAGTGGTGCGAGGGGGCCGGGGGCGCACAGGAGTGACGAGGGCGCGGACGAGCACCGTCTGGCACGGCTTCAGCAGGTGTGTGTGAGTGTAAGCACCGCCTGCCTGCCCCTCACGACTGCTCCCACGCCTCTCGCGACTTTGGCGGAGAGTGGCAGCACTGCTCAGGATGCACACGAAGACAGGTGGCTGCACTCGATTGCCACCGAGCCCCTTGATGCTGTGGTGGAGGTGGAAGGGGTGACGGTGGAAAGAATTGCAGTGCGGTGCAAACAGGTGCTGTTGCAACAAGAAAAGCAGCAGCATCAGGGCCAGTTCAGTCAGTGCAAACGGCAATACGATGGGAGTCATGCTCTTGACCTGCAGGTGGGTGTTCCGTGCCCCCTCTCTTCCATCTCCCACTTGTCTTCCCCCATTCTCTCTTTCCAGCCTGCCCTATTCCCGTTTCCCTTCTCACCTTCAGCCTCAACTTGCTTTCTATTTCTGTCTCGCAGCCCTCCTCACTTCTTCCACGTCCTCACTCTTTCCACTTCCTCCAAATTGCCTCATTTTTCTCGCTTCTCTTCCCCACGCCTCTTACACCCCCCTCTCCTCTTCCCTCGCCTCGTCAGGTTCAGCGTGTGTCGCTCACTGTCTCGCGCCATCAGGCCGACACCCTCCTGCTGCTGCTCCACCACTTGCCGCCCTCTGTGACTCCGCTGCTGCGCTCACATGCCACCACTGCGCCCACTCAGCAAGGCACGCAGGGCAGCACGGATAGACGCAGCAGCAGGTACGGGAATGGCGCCAGCGATCCAGTGACACGTGTCAGCATGCGAGTGGCTGAGTGCACCGCAACCTTGCCCCTGTGGACAACTGCCAGCAGCACTGCCAGCTGCTTCCACGGCCCTCACACAACCCAGCACGCCTCCTCACACGTCCAAGCCACCATCGTTGACTGCCTTGTCTGCGTGCCTGCAGTCGGCATGGGCTTTAACGCCCCTGCTTCTTCGTCCTTTACTACACCACCACCACCAGCACAGGGCCGGGCGTTGCCAGCAGCTCCAGTGGCACACGGCAGGGTGGGGCGAGTAACGGTGGTCACAGTGAGAGACACAGTGAGGGGCACAGTGAGGGACACAGTGAGGGACACAGTGAGGGACACAGTGAGGGACACAGTGAGGGACACGAACCGCCCATCGGAAGCACGTCAGCCTTGGACGCTTGGCAGCAGATCAGGCAGGGAGCACTTCACACTCCTCGCCCTGCCCCGCTCTGCCCACACACCGCCTTCCTCCCACGCCCCTCATCGCCCCCTCCATGCTCCTCCACCTGCACCCGTGCCTGGCCTGTCGTCCCACCAGGCCCCAGAGCCAGGCTGCCCTGCCCACGCTACAGGCGCCCCTGCAGGCATTGCTTGGAGCGTGGTTGAGGGAGAGAGGGCGTGTGCTAGTGGCAGGGAATGCAGAGGTGGAGAAACTGGGGAAGAGGGAGGGGAGGGGAGCGTGGAGAGTGGAAGGGCGATGGAGGGAAGGTGCAGCTGGGGGAGGTGTTGCGCTGCTGATTGCATGGGGGGTGAGTGTGGTGAGCCAGCGCAAGGGGAGGGGGCTGGCAGTGTGCAGGAGCAGCGGCGGTGGTGGGTGGTGGTGGAGGCTGCGCCCATCGTGGCTGCGGCTGATGCCCGGCTCGTGCACGAGGTGAACTTGCTAGGCTCTCCCTGCTCGCCTCGCCCTCCTCTTTCTGTTTCTACTCTGCGCTTCATGTGGCTCAGTCATGAGTCGTGAGGGGCATCTGGTCGTGAGGGGCATCTGGTCTGAATAACCTGCAGTTTGCAGCTGCTTTGTCTTAGTAGCCATGGCCATGTTTCTGTGGTGGTGTTCGTGTCTGTCGCTCTCAACCCCCAGTCTCTGCTTCACCCTTCGCTTCTACCATCTCCTTCCCCTGCTCTCCCTCGTGCCTCCCTGCAGCTCCACCCTGCCTGCCTCCTTGCCCTGCATCTGCCCATCCAGCCATCCAGCTGCTCTTGAGTCGACTCAAAAGCCATCCAGCTGCTCTCCTGTCCCCTCCACCACCCCTTCAATCTTCGCTTCTCATTGCCCCCTCCACTGCATCGCGCCCTTCGTTCCCCGCCAGGTCATGGCCATGACGTACGACATCCTCAATCGCCTGCACGCCATGCCAGCAGCAGCGCAACACCATGCACATGCGGGCCACACAGGGGCGGGCGCTGCGTCTGCCTGTGCACGCCAGGGCGCAGTGCATCCTGCCGGCGCGCCGCCAGAGCGCCACTCACACACGGCACCACAGCACGCACAGCAGCAGGCAACCCCTGGGGAGAGGGGAAGCCGTGCACCCACTAGAGGGTCAGTGCAGACGCTGTGGGGCGTGCAGGTGGCGAGCAGCGGCGCTCTCATCTCCCTGCTCTCCGCCTTCGAAGCCTTTGAGGCTGCTGAAGGCCCCCCCTCCCCACGCTCTCCCCATGCTCGCCAGCACCGCACATCCTCCCCGCCCGCCTCCTCTGTCTCCTCCCCCTCTGTGCTGTCCCGCCTGCCCCGCCTCTCCATCTCGTCCCACTTCGTCGCTCCTGATGACCCCCACTCGCACCCACTCCCACATGCCTTCCAGAGCCACGAGCAGCACTGGCAGCAGGAACAGCAGCAGCAGCAGGAGGAGCAGCAGGAGAGAGATGAGCAGGCGGGAGCAGGAGTGTCGATTGAGCTTGAGGGCTGCACCCTCACGCTCTCCCTCACACCTTCCCTCCACGACATGCGCAGATTCGCAGGCACCCATGACTCCGCCTGCCCTGGTCGGACCATCACCCCTCCCCATGCGCCGTGCACCGCCCACTCTCCCTCGCACCTTGCACTCGCCCCCTTCCTCATCCCCAACCTCGAGCTGCAGTCAGCCCACACCACTGTTCGTGTGCTCAACACGGAGTTCGTCTCCAGCCCCGCTCTCGTCGCCCGCATGCACGGCACCGCACTGCACCTCACAGCTCTCGGCAGCCCCTTCCCTCTGCGCCTCACCATGCATGCCGACTTCGCTTCCCCGCGCCTGTGCCCGAAAGTGGTGGTGCCGCTGCTCGGGGTGATCGCCTCGCTGCGGGAGGCGTGGGCGGCAACGAGGGGGTTGCGGCTGGCGCGGGTGACAGAGCCTGCGCCGTACGATGACCTGCGCAGCGGGGCGTTTGAGCGGTGCAATGCGGTGGGGGGGCTGCAAGGGAATGTGGAGGGGTTAGAGGACTTAGAAGGGGGCGAGGTGGCGTGGGGCGAGGGGGTGGCGAGCCGGGACAAGCCTCTCAGCAACATCTGCTTTGGGGGTGGCTGGATAGCATGGCGGTACGTGCATGGCATGGCGCTACATGCATGGCATGGCGGTACGTGCATGGCATGGCGGTATGTGCATGGCATGGTGATACTTGCATAGCATGGTGATACGTGCATAGCATGGTGATACGTGCATAGTATGGTGATACGTGCCTAGTATGGTGATACGTGCATGGCATGGTGATACGCGCATGGCATGGTGATACGTGAGTGTCATGACGGTAATTTCTCCCCCCACTCTCTTTCCTTGCCTTCCAGTTCTATCAACTCTCAATCCGGATATTCCTCCCTTCGTTATTTCTCAACCACCCGGGCCATCCCCCTCCCCCCCCCCCCCTCTTTCCCCAGCTACCCCTACCCGCGGGCCGTCCACCAGCTGGTCATCGCTGGTCCTCTCCTCTCCGGCCCCCTCGCCTGGCGCCTGCCCCCCGTGGCGCTGCGCCTCGCGCGCTTTGACCGCACCCTCTCCGACTTCACCGACGCCCTCCCCCCCAGCCTCTGCCCGCCCTCCTCCGAGCCCTGCGCGGCCCACCCTGCTGATGCCGCCTGCCCGACGCGCCCGTCGTGCCGGTCGTGCCCCCGGTGCCCTGGGTGCCGGCCCATGGTGCTGGAGCCGGAAGGGGAGGGCGAGGCGGAGCTGTGGCTGCTGTCGTGGTTTGTGCCGCTCAACCCCGCTGATGTCATGCACCCGTCCGCACCGCCAGGTCAGCACGCTCATGCGGCCGCGGATGCTGCCAGCAGGCCTGCTGCCGCCGCCGCCTCTCCTGCGCCCTCCTCTGGCGCCACCGGCTCTCTCGCCGGTGCGCTCTCCCTGCTCTCCTCCGTCTACGGCTCTGCCGCTGCTGCCACCCTCACTGCCACCATCACTGGCGCGCCCGGCTCGGGTCATGCCCCTCTCACTGCAAGCACCCCACGCACCTTCTCCGCGCTCCCAGCAGCCGCCATGCTCTCCCCCCCCATGGACACGCACCTCCTCCCCGCCTCTCTCATGCTCGCCCGCCTCCTCGTCAACCCCACCAGCGCCGGCCCGCACACGCGCCCGCGCCTGCCGTGCGCGCCCCTGGTGCCGTACCTGCGCATCGGTCTGCAGGCGCGGCTGGTGGAGGTGCGTCTGGTGGAGGACATGGACGTGCGTGAAGGGGGCGAGAGGGAGGCGGTGGTGGTGGCGCAGGAGGGCGTGCGGGCGTGCATGCACATGTGGAGCACGCGCATGTGGGCGCTGCACGCCGCTGCCACTGCCAGCGCTGATGCACTGCACGCCGCGGACCTCACTCAGGTGCGCCAAAGGAAGAGGGGGGAAGGGGGGGGGGGGTTGGTGGGTCTGTGTTGTGGGATGCGCGGATGGTGGCGTGGGAGAGCAGTACTGGAAGGAGCTCATGCGCCCCTTGACAAGGAAAATTCTGGCACGTTGCAGACGCCTGTGGAAGCACGCATGAGCATACTATCACTCCTGAACTCCTTCATACTATTACCCCCGAAAACATAAATGAGCCCAGCCTTGGACTCTCGCATGGGTAGAGGGAAGACAATGGCGGTGATGGTGTGGTGGGGAGAGAGAGTGATGCATGGTGTGGTCATGGTGCAGATGGGTAGGTTGGAGAGTGATGCATGGTGTGGTCATGGTGCAGATGGGTAGGTTGGAGAGTGATGCATGGTGTGGTCATGGTGCAGATGGGTAGGTTGGAGAGCCGGGGGACTGATAACTGTTGAAGCAGCTGCCATGTGGGCTGTTAAAGCAGCTGACGTGGTAGGACGAGTATACTCCTATCCTAAGCAGCCGGACGAACCAGTGGCACACGACTGGGACAGTTGGGTCATATGTGGCATGGTTGGTGCATGTGTGGCATGGTTGGCGCATGTGTGGCATGGTTGGCGCATGTGTGGCATGGTTGGCGCATGTGTGGCATAGTTGGCGCATGTGTGGCATGGTTGGCGCATGTGTGGCATGGTTGGCGCATGTGTGGCATGGTTGGCATGTGTGGCATGGTTGGCATGGTTGGCATGTGTGTCATGGTTGGCATGTGTGGCATGGTTGGCATGTGTGGCATGGTTGGCATGTGTGTCATGGTTGCCATGTGTGTCATGGTTGCCATGTGTGTCATGGTTGCCATGTGTGTCATGGTTGGCATGTGTGTCATGGTTGGCATGTGTGGCATGGTTGGCATGTGTGGCATGGTTGGCATGTGTGTCATGGTTGGCGCATACAGGGGTGCATTTGAAGTGGATTCTCAACCTTCTCACCATCCATCCTTACCCGCCTTCCTCTCCTGATCTGCACTTCCACTTTGTTGACTCTCTCCCCTCCCCACTCCCCTCCTCCCAGCTGCCTCTCCTGGAGCCTCTCTCCATCCGCGCCTCCCTCGCTGTGCTCTGGAAGCCCTTCTGGTCGCCCGCCCTGCTCTCCCGCCACCATCGCCACCATCACTGTCGCACGCATCCCCGCTCCTCTCTCTTCTCCTCCCCCCCTCGCCCCTCCTCACCCCCTCGCCAGCCCTCCTCTCCCCCTCGCACCCACAACTCCCACTCCTCCCACTCTTCCCGCTCCTCCCCCTCCTCGCCCTTCCCCCCCACGCCTGTCTGCCTGCCCGCCGACCCTTTTGATCTGCACACGGCCCCCTCCTCGCTGGGCATGGCGCTGGGCGTGCAGGTGGGGGGGCAGGCGGCGGGGCAAGGCGGTGGCACTCGCAGGGGGTGTGGGCGGCGCAGGGGCAGAAGCAGGGGCGTGAGGGAGTGTGAGGGGGGGGACGAGCAGGGTGCGACGGTGCATGTCAGGGTGGCGTCACTGAGGGCCGTGCAGCGACTGGTGGCCGCATGGACGCGGCAAGGCGAGCAGATGCCCGCAGGGACGCGGCAGGAGATGCCCGCATGGACGCGGCAAGGCGAGGAGATGCCCGCAGGGACGCGGCAGCAGATGCCCGCAGGGACGCGACAAGGCGAGGAGGGACGAGGCGGGGTGGGAGTGGGGGCAGCAGAGAAGGAGAGAGAAGAAAGGAATAAGGCCCAGAAGGAGCGGGTGAAGAGAGAGGGGCGAGCACAAGAGAGTTTGGAGAAGATTTTGGAATCAGGAAAGAGTACGGAGGACGAGGGGGGTGGAGCAGAGGCAGGCGGCGGGCTGCAGAAGCAAGGCACCGGAGGAACGCAAGCCCTCGCCACTTGCACTCCCGCCCTCGCTGCCTCCACTTCAACCCCCCTGTTCGGCTCCATGCTTGAGAACCGCTGCCCCGTGCCCCTTCAATTTGGCCAGCAAGGCACACATGAGGCCATCTCCCTGCCACCCGGCTGCTCGCTAGGCTACAGCTGGCGCCGCCCACCCTCGCTTGTGCCGGGTGCTGAGTGCAAGTTGCGTGTGCGTGTTGGCGAATGGGGGAGAGGGGAGGGGAGAGAAGAGGTAGAGGGGGGAGAGTGGAGAAATGGAAGGGGTGGGGATGAAGGGAAAGATGCATTGGGATGGGAGGCGCTGAGTTTGGAAGGAGGCGAGAACAGGGAAGTACGGAGGCAGCAGCAGCAGATGGGTGCAAGCACAACGCCTAGTGGACATGACGTGGCATGCGGTGATTGGTCGGCACCTTTTCACTTGCAACCAGGGGAGCGCCTGTCGTTCGTCCTCGCTGTGCCCGTGCTCCGCGACGGCCATCTCACAGCCTCCATTTTCGTCACCATCTCTCCTGGCCCTGGCTCCATCACGCATGTGCTCTTCACGCCGAATGTACTTATATCGAATCACACAGGCCAGGGAGTGGCAGTGGAGATGAGGGGCTGTGCCCTGCCAGTGGGCGCCAGCACCAGCACCTGCAGCAGTGCCAGGGGCACGTCTTCCGCTTCCGCTCCCGCTGCCATCCGCGCTCCTCATGCTGCCATCTCGCCAGCTGTCAGTGCGGCCAGCAGAGAGGCTGACACAGGGGAGTGCGAGGCGTGCACTGTGCAGGTGGAAGGGCGGCGGAAGGGAGCCAGGGAGCATGTGAGGCACGTGCTGGTGGGGAGGCAGATGGGAGGTGCGAGGGGGGCGGCCATGGCGAGGGGCATGCAGGAAGGTGCACAGGTGAAGGGGGGCATGGAGTCAAGGGGCATGGAGTCAAGGGGCATGGAGTCAAGGGGCATGGAGGTAAGGGAAGGGAAGGGAGGGAGAATGGAGAGGGCAGAGGCGAGGGACGAGGAGGTGAGGCAGAGGGGCGAGGGCGATGGCAGGGGAGGAGGCGCACCTCTCCTGCTGCGCGTGCTGCTTCCAGGGGAGCGGCGGTGGTCCGCCGCCATCGCCGTTGAGCACCGCTGGCTGGGGCTGCACACAAATGAGGTGGGGAGGAGGCTGGGAGGGGCGAAGGACGGGAGGAGAGGGACAGAGAGAGGGTTGGGGAAGGCAGCAGGATCCGCAACAGCAGCAGACGGGGGGGCAAGCCGTGGCGGCAGCTCGCTCACTTTCCTGCTGACAGGCGATGCGTGTGTTCCCGCCACAGGGCCGCCCTTCCCCCCTCCGCCGCAATCCAAAGAGAGTGTGTGGGTGAGGCTTCTGCTGCCCTCCTCCATCGTCCCCCTCACAGGTTCCCCTTCCTCCTCCTCCCTCTCCAGCCTCCCTCCTGCCAGCACCCCTGGCCCCGGGTTTACTGCGGCCCATCCCCTGTGTGTGGAGCTGTGGCCCGCTGCCTTCCTCTGCAACGCCCTGCCCCTGCCCCTCTGCGCCCGCCTGCTGCCGCTGCTGTGTGTGCCTGGTGCGAGCGGCAGGGAGCAGCTGAGGTTGGGCGCACAGAGGGAGGGGGGAGAGGCGGGGCAGCGGCAGGCAAAGGAGGCGACGGGCGAGGGAGTGGCGGAGTTCCAAGTCGGGGCACGGGAGGAGGTCGCTATTGGCGGCGGCATCTGGGGAAGGTGTGGCCTGTCCCTGTCCCTGGCTCTGCCCTGCACAGACTCCTCCATTGGTGCAAAGTCGCACGCAGCTAGCCACGGCAGCAGCAGCAGTGGCAGCAGCTCTACTGTTGCTGGCACGCTTGACTCACATGGGCCCCACGGCCAGGAAGCATCCATGTGGAGCAGCCCCCTTGCTCTGTACGCTGTTGCCCCTGCCACCCAAGGCAGGGCGATTGGAGGCAGCGGTGAGGGAGATGGTGCAGAATGGCGGGCAGGTGGAGAGGGGGAAGAGGGCACCTCTGATCCGCCGCGTGCCATCCCACCTGTGGGGGGGACATGTGTCGTGTGGCTGCCACAGGCGTCGGGCAAGGTGAGTACCTGCAATCCCTGGAATCCCTGCATCGCTTTTCATTCTGTACTTCCGTTCCATCCAAAGGCGCTTCAGTGGGATGAGACCACAAGCATTGTCTCCCTTTCTCTGTGCGCTTCCTCCCTATCCCCTTGCCCCCCCTTCCCTTCTCTGGCCAACCAGCCTCTGCTCTGTGTGCTGGCAGCATCGCACTACTGCCCCTCACCCCTTCCACAGGCTGACACCATTGCCGCCCCCATGGACGCCTCTTCACCATCCACAAGCGCCATGGCTCTCCCCGCTACTGCTGCTGCTGCCACTGCTGCTGCTGCTAATGCTGGTGCTGCTGCTCTGTGTGCCGATGCACCGCTGCCACCAGCTCTCCCCTCGCTGCTCCTGGCCCTCCACCCGGTGGCCGTGCTGCACAACCACCTGCCGTTCCCCCTCGCCCTCGCCCTGCACGAAGCCCCCTTCCCCGACCTCATCATCCCCCCCACCCACTCCCTGCCCTTCGCCTGGCCCTCTCTCTCCCACGCCCTCCACCCCCCTCACGCCCCGTCTGCACCCTCTCCCCCCTCTGCTGCCGCCTCCTCCCTTTCCACGCCTACTGCTGCATCTGGTCCGGGTGCCACACCTAGGAGGCAGGCTCGGGGGTGGTCAGTGCGGCTTGGAGTGGCAGGAGGGTTGGAGGCATCGATGGGAGGAGGTGGGGGAATGGGGAGCGGAAAGGGCGAGGCGAGGGGGTGGGCTTGGTCATCCACAGTGCTGGTCAGGGGGGAGGGCGAGGCGGAGGGGGAGGCAGCAGCGAGCAGCAGCAGTGGGGGCAGTGAGCGCGTGTCGATCGTGACTCTCAGTTCTGACGGCCCCTCGCACCTGCACTGCCTGCTCAACGTCTCACACGTTCCTCACTCACCGCTCAACCCGCCTGCTTCTCCTGTTGACATGCCCCCCCCCGAGCATGCCTCCCCCCTCCCCTCGCACAGCACCCACCTCTCCGTCCTCCCCGCCGCCCTCCTCTCCAACCTCACTCCCTTCCCCCTCCACTTCCTCCTTGGCGACCCCCCCCTCCGCCTCCCCCATCCCTTCTTCCAGCCTCGCCCCGCCACTCCCTCCGCCTTCCCCACCGCCTGCCTGCCTCTGCTGGTCTCTCCCCCCCTGGTGCCTGCTGCCTGCCCCTCACCCTCTTTCCCTGGCGGCCCTTCCATTCCTCCCCGCCCTCTCGTGACTCTGACTCCTCTACCTCCACCACCACCACCAGCAGCAGCAGCCGCAGCAGCAGTGACAGTGAGGGTGAGAGGGACAGTGGGGAGGGTGATGGTGACGTGGGTGGCGATGGCAGTGGTGGTGCCACATCAAAACAGCGGCAGAAGCTGAAAAAGAGGCAGAGGAGGGCGAAAGTCGATAGGGTGAGAAGTAGGGGAGGGGAGGATGGATGGGACTCACGGCTAGCAGCTCTGGGAGGAGTGCGGCTGGGCATGGCAGCAGGTGCATGCAGGGAGGCGAGTCAAGACGGGCCAGCATCAGCAGCGAGTGGAGGCCAGCAGTGCCCCTTACTGTGGTCTGCCCCTGTGCCTCTCGCCCGCTATGCCGTCTCGCAGCGCGTGCTCCTCCCCGACCCCTCAGGCACCTGCCATGCCGCCCTGCTCACCACCTCACTCCTGCCCGCCGCCGGCCAATTAGGGGCTGCCACGTGGCAGCCGCACATGGTGGTGCATGTGGATCCACAGCCGCCGTGGCGTGTGGAGAATGAGACGGGCGTGTGCGTGGACGTGAGGGGGGTCGGGGATGAGAGCAGCGGCTTCATTGCGAGAGTGGGCCCGGCGCGCTCCCTCGGCTTCCAAGCCCCCGTGCCTCTCCGTTCATCCTCTTCTGCTGCTGCTAGTGGTGGTGGTGGTGGTGGTGGTGGTGGTGGTGGTGGTGGTGGTGGTGGTGGTGGTGATGCCAACCACCGTGGCGCCACTGGTGTGAGCCGCGGTGATGGCAGTGGAACCGGGTGCAGCGAGGAGGGGCATGGCGCCTGTGAGTGGATGCATGCGGCTGTGATGGGCGGGATGGTCATTAAGAAGCGCAAGTGGCATGACCGCTCGCACCACCATCACAGGCATAGGCATGGGCATGGGAATGGGCATGGAGATGGTGCATTGAATCTGGACGAGGAGACAGACGATGCTCTCATGGCTCACATGCAACGCGTGTCAGCGGATGGGCAATCGGCAGGGGGAAGAAGAGGAGGAGGAGGTGCAGCAGCAGCGGCACCACATGCTACGCCAGCATCAGCATCCGCAGCAGGTGCAGCCATATGCATTCGGGCAGCAGGGGCACATGAGTGGAGCGGCCCCATTGCAGTGGGTGAAGGGCAGGGGGCAGAGGAGGGCGAGGCAGAGCTGCTGCTGCATGCAGCATGTGGGCCATGTGGGCCATGTGGGGCTGCCGCCAGTGGTGCAGTGGAGGGTGGGGGGCACATGCTGCTGCTGCACGTGCGTGTGTGGAGGGAGGGCGCCACAGCAGTGTGCCGCATAGCCGATGCCGCCACTCGCCCCTCCAGCCCCCTCGCTCTTTCCTTGCCCGGCCACCCCGTGCCCCCCGCCATGGCGCCTCTGCCCCCTGCTGCTCTGCACGTGGGTCTTCAGCAAGAGCTCAGATACAGGAAGGACATGCAGCAGCAGCAGCAGCAACAACAACAGCATTCGTTAGCTCCCAGCGAGTCGCAACCGGTGCACTTCATCTCGCGAACTCACTCCCCATCTCACCTATTCCACTCACCCTCCTCCCCACCTCCCCTCCCATCACCAGCTCTCCCCTCCTCCCCTTCCACCCCCCGCACTCCCCCCACCCCACACCCCACCGCCTACCTCCTCCTGCGCTCGCACTCCCTCTCCCTCGCCCTGCCCTCGCTCCACCTCGTCCTCTGGGACGACCTGCACCGCCCACCCACCCCCCCCTCACACCTCCCCGGGAACAAGACAAAGGACGCCAGTGGCAGTAGCTCCAGCAGCTCTCTGGCACGTGACAATAACGAGGGGGGCAGTCTGTTCTGCGACGCCTCAGCCATCTGCCTCGTCACCCTCTCCTCCCTGCATGCTTCGCTTGCCCTCCTCCCGCCACGCTCCCTGTCACTGCATGGCATCGCGGCCCGCCACGCCGCAGCTACTGACAACATGGCGCGCGGCACGCACTCGCATGACCGCCGTAGTCTCGACACAGCACCACCGCCAGCAGAACCAGTGGGGGTGGTGTATGTGGTGCAGTGCGGTGTGGGGTCAGTTGAAGTGCACAACCTCTTGCCCGGTGCCGTCCTCCCTCTCCTCCTTGCCATCCGGCCTGCGTGTGGGAGCAGGAAGGCGCACATGGCAGCAAATGGGGGGAAGGGTGCGGCAGGAAAGGAGAGGCGGGGAATGCAGAAAGGAAAGACAGCAGGAGAGATGGGTAAGGCAGCAGGAGAGATGGGTAAGGCAGCAGCAGAGGGTGGGAGGAGGAGGAGGGAGCGGTCATGGCAAAGTGGCGAGCAGGCAGTTGGCGTGGAGATAGTGGTGTCGCAGCACCCTCCACAGCACCGCTCACAGCACCCCTCACAGCACCCCTCACCGTATTTCATGGGAGGGTGGAGGAGGGGAGGCAGGGTGGTGGAAGGGGTGCACAGCACAGGAGGAGGAGGAGGAGAAGCGCAGAGTTGGGAGGATGCATCAGCAGCAGGCGGGCACGAGCAACCTCCCCAGTCGCCACTGTTTGTGACGAGCGTGGAGTCGGTGCACATCAGCGTGGCCCACATGGACGCATGCGCCGACGACTTCCTTCTTGCCGCTCTCACACACTATGCCCCAATAGCCTTGGCCGTCATCCAGAGAAGTAGCCAATCAGATGGTGACACGTGGCAGTCGCAGATGCAAAGATCCGAGTGTGAGAGGCAATCGGGTGTGTGTGAGGCAGGTGTGCCTTGTGCTTCCTCTCCACCCCATCTCCTCCCCCATATTCCCTCTGTCCTCCCCCCCTCCCTGCCATCGTCAGACGCGTCCATCATCCGCCTCCTCGCCCCTCACCTCCTCCTCTCCGCCCCTCCCCTCCGCCTCCCCGACGTGGCCCTGGCCACGTCGCCCGCGCTCTACCTTGGCCGCTGCCGCATCTCCCCCCTCACTCTCTCCCTCACCCTCCGCATCTCCTCCCCTCTCCCCCTCGACACCACTGCCACGCCTCTCTCCCTCGCGCCCTTCCACTTGCCTGCGCTGTTCTCCCCGCCCGCCGCGCTCGTGCGTGCCCTCCTGGCGCACTACATCACGGAGGTGCTGCTCTGTGCGCCGCGCGTGCTGGCGTCGCACCACCTGCTGCTCAACCCGCTGGGGCTGCTGCACAGCATGCGCTGCGCGCTGCGCGACCTGCTCCTGCTGCCCATCCAGGGCTCCATCCAAGGGGGCACACATGGGCTGCTGTTGGGCGTGGGGCGGGGCGGCCTGTCTGCGTGGCGGCACGTGTCCCGGTGGACCGTTTCGTCCGTCTCTGGCTTCTCGTCCAGTGTGGGGAGGATTGTGAGGCGGGCGTACCTTGGAGGTGGGGGGGTGGAGGGGCGAGGGGGAAGCAGAGGGCCGCTAGGAGAAGCGGGCCACAGCAGCGGTACTAGCGTGGGTAGCAGCAGCAGAGGTGGCGCTGTGGCAGGTGGTGGAGCGGCTGCTGGAGGCAGCAGCGGGGGAAGCAGAGGAGGCGGTGGAGTGGCTGGCGGCGTGGGTGTGGCTGTTGGGCACCGACGACTGCTGCTCTCACTGGCTCACAGGCCACGCCTTCCCCAGCACTACCACCATCATTCACACCATCGGCAGCAGCAGCAGCAGCCAAGGCAAAGAGGTCATGGTGAAGGGATCCTTCCCTCACCCCACGCACTCACCTCCTATACTACTGAGTCATTTGATTCTGTGCACAGTTCTGAGGGCCTTCCCTCTGGCAATGCCGCCACAGGAAATTATGCAGCAGGAGATGAAGGGGCGAGAGGGTGTTGTCCAGCTGAGACGGGGGAAGGTGGTGGGCACACACCTGCCACTGCCATCAGGGGCACATCCAGTGAGCGAGGCACACGGAACAGCAGGGGTGGCGGTGGTGGTGGCGGGGAGGGGAGAGGCAGGGAGGGCGAGGGGAGGCGGGTGTCGCTGCTGTGGCAGCTGCAGCAGAGGGGAGTGCGGTGCGCTGCCAGCCACTTCATGCCTCCCCTGTGGCCTGCACGCCCTCATGCACTGTGAGTTCCCCTTCGCAGCCGCATGTAAGCGTCATGCTGCTGCTGCCCTGCTGCTCCGCATGTTCCCCAATCACTGATGCGTTGGGGCTCTGTGTTCATGTGAGCATGGCTTCCTCCTCAGCGCCCATACCTCGTGGACAGCGCTTTCAACACCCTTCCGGGCTTGTGTTTCTCTTGCCCTTGTTTCCTCTCCTGTGTGTTCCTCCCCCAGGTACCTCGCCCACGTGGACGCCAGCACAGCCGTCATCACCACCACCAGCGTCGACGTCCCCCCTCTGCTGCTCTGCCGCCCAGTGCTGCTCCTCTCTGCCACCCACCTCCTCGCCGTGGACCAATCAGGGCTCGGGATGGCTGCGTGCCTGCCGCTGTGTGGGCTGGAGGTGAGTGTGGAGCGGGGAGACGAGGGGAGAGGGGAGGAACTGCAAGGGGAGGGGAGGGGAGGGGAGGTGGAGGAGGAAGGGAGTGTGGAGGGGGGCGAGGAGGATTGGTCACTGACTTGCTTCTGTGCCGGGGGCGGGCAGCTGTGCGGCAGTGTGAGGGAGTGGTGGGAGACACTGCAATGCGAATGGCAGGAGGGAGATTGCCATGGTGGCTTGGCCAGGAGAGGTGCAGGTGAAAGGAGAGGGAGCGATGAGGGTGGCGGCGTGGCAGACGATGTGGCAGATATGAGAGGCAGTGGAGGGGAGTCGGTGGGGCTGAGAGAAGCAGCAGTGCAAGGGGGAGAAGCTGACGGGACGATGGGGCTTCAGGTTTACTGCCAGCTGGGAGAAGCAGCTCACATCCAACTGGTGGCCCTGCTGCTACGCCAGATGGCTCGCTCCTCTCTCTGATTACAAACATCACGTGTGTGTCGCAGTGCTGACATACGGTAGCTATTAATGTAAGAGCGCCCATTTTCATTAGAAAGTTCAGTTGAAGCAGAAGCTCAGTAGACCCGAATCTCAACCAGGTATGGGCACACATTGACCTTATATCTCATAACAACGCAACGAGTAGAATGAGGGCATACAGGGGTTCATATGGTTGGGTGTTGTACTCTCTATGAGCATGCACCTATCTAACCTATCAACATATACAAATATATGTCGACACCCCTAGGCTAGACAAGGGGCAGTGCCTGGCAAGAGACACACAGCTCAGAGAGGCACTACTAGTCCAATCTTTGAGGCAAGGGTTTGAAGACCAGTCAAAAGAGTATAAACTAGACAAGAGCAAGCCAGGGCGGCACTACTAGTCCGGCCACTGGAAGAAAAGCCACAAGGCCAGTCACGAGAATATAAAAAGAGTATAACACAATCAAGGCCCTAGCAAGTGAGGAGCTACTGGAACTAGACCAAGCTGTACACAGTGCCGCTGATGATCTTTCGGCGCAAGTGCCTTAGTAAAGATATCATCTGTGTTGGCACCAGAGGACAAGTGTACAACGCGGGCCTAGCAGCGCTGCTGTAGCTCGCGCAGGAGGAAGTACCGCAGCTAGATGTGCTTAACTCTGCCCTCCACTCTAGGCTCCTAACACAGGAGGATCATGGCCCTATTGTTAGCATACAGGACCAGGGCAGAGCTAGGCTGCTCACCTAAGTCTGTGAGCAAGAAAGTCAACCAGCGGAGCTCCTGTGCCGCCATGGTACCAGCGAGATCTTAGCCTCCCAGCTAGACTGCGCAACAGACGACGAGCAGGTGGACCTCCACGAGATGGCACCCGCACCAAGGCTAAGCAGTAGCCCTGTGAGGGCCTGAGAGTCTCGACGTCGTCTGCCCACGAAGCGTATGTGTGTCCTGTAAGGACCACTGGCCTGCGTCCTCCTAGCACTAGCCCCATGCCTGATGTACTTGTTAGATAACGCAAAACCCTCTTCGTGGCCGACCAGTGCTATGGTTGGTGTCTGCATGTCGCCACAAAACGAGCTAGGATGCGGAGAGGGTGTGCAAGATCTGAACGAGTGCAAGTCATCAGGTACATGAGGCAACCCACCAGCTCTGCGTACGGACCACTAGACTCTACCGACTCCTCAAGGACAGGAGCCTAGAGTCTGTAATCTACTGGCAGAGGTGTGGGCTGTGAGGAGGAGAACTAAAGGCCGAACCTCTGAGGGACCTAGCGCACCAAGTGTGACTGTATGAGAATAATGGTGCGAGCTGCTGTGTCCCTAGAGATCTGCAGGCCAAGGTAGCAGAACAGCACTCCTAGGTCAGTGCACGTGTGTCTCCTCAGCAGCTCGGCCTTCACGGAGGCCAGTGCGTCTCTATCTGCAGTAGCGAAGACTATGTTCTCTATGTAGAAAGGATGTAAAACGGGGTCTGGCCTAAATGAACGATGAGCGAAGGGTCTGCAGACGACGGGAAGAACTGCAGGCCAGCTAATGTAGCGTGCAGAGTGTTGTGCCACTCACAAGGCGTTTGCCGCTGTTGGTACAACCCTATGGCTTGCACTCGGCTTGTCGTCCTTGTTTGTGTGTGTGCATGCATGGCATGGAATGAATTGTGAGTCTATGTCATTGCTATCTAGTGCTTGTGTGTGTGTTTGAATGGTGTATCACAATGTGGTTTGTGTCGGTCAAGACATTAACGAGTTTTTACAACTCGCATGTCAAGTCGTCGTTTGCGTGTCGCATGCGTTTTTTCTATTTTGTCGTGTGTGAAGTGTCCATCGCGTCGCAGGTGTGTGCAGCAAGCCCCCATCAACTCAAAAAGAATTTATCTTGCAGAACCAAGACCAAGAGCTCAAGATTTCAAGCCCAAGAGACGCGGATAAATATTAAATAGTGAAAATGGCAACGCTACTTCGTGTAGTGTTACATTTCACTTGGTGTAGCCCTTTGGAGGGTTGGTTTCGAGACTCTTCGTGGTTAGGGACTCTGTGGTGGTGTACCACCAACCTGGACCTCGGCTCTTGGGGTATGTAGAGGCTGGGAACCATCTCCCTCTCGAATTCTTCTTGCTAAGTTTTGTACTTCTAAGCCTATAGTGGCTGCTATACCTCTTGCGAGTCAAACCGCCATAGCGTCGTCAAATATTCATGGAATCTCATGATTCAACTTTCTGCTGATAGCCGACAGTAATGCGCTCCAGATCCAACTTACAGATTACCGTTTGATTCAGCGAGCAGATCGTTATTAACATTTGAAACCGTCTGACGGAAATCCGACTGTGCTCTCTATCTCTCATTCTAGGCACATCTAAGCTTATTGTGATTATAACAAGTGGTATCAGAGCCCCTTGGAGCCGTCTCGACCATGCCTAGACTTGAGGAAGGGGGTGGCAGAGGTGCTGGAGGCAGAGAAGACGCCCAAGCACATGGTCAACACCAAGATCCACCCGTTGCTCCGGTGCAACCTAGCCTTGGACCCTCTAGGGATGAGCCCAGAGTGTTTGGCCTTGACAAGTTCAACGGTGACAACTTTGCTGAGTGGTCCTTCAAGATGGAGAACATATTTGACCACTATGATCTGCTGGAGGTGATGGAAGGAACGGAGAAGGGCCCCGAGAACGACCAGGAGAAGAGCCCGTGGGTGCGGAAGAGCGCACAAGGCTACCTTCTACTTGGGCAAGCGTTGGGGAGCAGCCAAATCCGTCACATCAAGCCTTTTCAGCGTGAACCAGCAAAGGGACCAAAGGCATGGACTGCTCTCAAGGGTGTACACGCTCCTGCAACAGCGGCGGTGGCTGTGGTTTTGGAGCGGCAAATGGCGGCACTTCGAATTGACGAAGGCGAACCGGTGGATGAAGGAGTGCAGAAATTCTTCGACTTGTTGACACGGCTCGAAGGAGCTGATCTTAACTACAGTGACCTTCAAAAGAAGACCAAGCTGCTGGCCTTACTTCCGGACTCATGGTCCTCGCTCATCATCAACCTTAATCGAGATCTGCCCCGTCTCTCACTCGAAGATGTGAAGCGGGAAATCTTACAAGAAGATTTCCGCCGTCGTGAATTGGCGGGTCCCGATGGTGGCGGAGTTGCAAGCATGGGCCGTTGGCACGGCCGTGGAAGGGGCAGAGGGCGAGGAGGAAGATTTGGCAGCAGTAACTTCAATGGAGGCCGTGGTAATGGAGGATATGGCAACAACAACAACAACAATGGCTATGGGCGTGGGCGCGGTCGATTTGATAGCGAATGCCACTTTTGCCACAAGACCGGCCACATGTGGAGAGATTGCTTCAGATTGCCCGATGGATGGACCCCTTCTCAAGGCCAAGAGGGCAGAGGAGCAAGGGGAGGAAAAGGCAGAGGTCGGGGAGGCCGTGGTGGCCGTAGAGGCGAAGCGGCAAGCATGAAAGGTGGAGACTACGACAAGGACTCGAGTGAAGATCGATAGCCGGGCCAATTCTTCTTTGTCTCCACGCAAGCGGCAGCTGCAGCAGGAGGTGTGGAAGGCTTTGAGGAACCAGCTACTGTGGGAAAGGTCACCCTTCACTCTCTGGACTTTTGGGTGATCGATAGCGGCGCCACCTATAGCATGACACCTCGTGCGGACTTGCTCACCGAATTCGAACCGTCTCCGGTCAAGCATGTTACATCGGCTTTGGGGCAACGAGCAGAGGTGAAAGGCATGGGCAAGGCCATGTTCAAGGGTGCTGATGGGAAGATGGTGGGCCTCAAGAACGTGCTTTGGGTGCCCAACCTTGCAGCCAACCGGATTTCCGTGCAGCGTTTGCAAAAGGCCGGCATGGACACATCTTCCAAGGGTTCCAAAACATATACCGCGAGGCTTGGTGAGCGGAAACTTTGGGACCTTCATGAGGACAGGGACATCTACAATGAGATGTGGCAAATCCCAGTGGTCCCCATGCCTAAAGAGAGGCAAGTGGCAGCAAGCGTCAGCACCAAGCGTGAAGCGGTTGGTGGCGGTAATCACGGAAAGCAAAGTGACACCAAGAGTGACTCGAAGGAGTGCAACCTTGGAGAGACCAGCAAGGCATGTGAACCCAAGGAGAATGGTGCAGCAGCCAAAGGTGGTGGAAATGAGGAGGAGAAGGCTAAGATCAACAAAGCAGCGGCGGCAAAGGAGAAAGGAGAGAGCTTGTGGGGCACAATTGCGAGTGCCGCTTTCTCCAACCCGACTTCCGCTACGGGAGAGTGTGATTGGCTGACCTTGCATCAGCGAATGGGGCATGTGGCATTGCCCAATTTACAGCAGATTGTTAAGCGAGAGATAGTCAGTGGGATACGTGTCAAGGGGGAGCCCAATGAGGTGCTTGGCTGTCCAACATGCATGCAAGCCAAGTTCACCCGCTACCCGTTCCATAGCTCGGAGACAACGGCGAAGGCACCACTTGATGAGGTGGTGATGGATGTGGTGGGCCCCTTGAAGCTTGGAGCTGCTGGAGCAGAGTACTTCCTCACCATTGTGGACGTCTACACTCGCATTGTGCTGCCCAAGAAGATTGACGTAGCTGAAACGGTGAAGACTGATTGGTTGCCGATGGTGGAGCGGCAACAAGACCGACTTGTGAAGGCTATTCGCACTGACCGTGGGGGAGAGTTCCTGAGCAAGGATTTCTCAACTTGGCTGAAGAAGCAAGGCATAAGGCACTCTCTTACCATGCCCTACTCTCCTGTAATGAACGGCATCGCCGAGCGTGCGAATCGGACACTCACGGAGACGGCTCGGGGACTTCTCATTGAAGCCGGTCTACCCAATTACTTTTGGCCGGATGCGGTGCGGCATGCTTGTGTGGCCAAGAACAGAGCCTTGACTCATGTGGAAGAAGACAAATGGGTGCCCTATGTGGAGTGGATTGGAAGGAAGCCGAAGGTGGATATGCTTCGGGTGTTCGGGTGCATGTGCATGGCACTTGTGCCTAAGAAACTTCGGCACAACAAGCTTGATGCCAAGGCAACATGGGCGGTGCACCTGGGCATGGCTCAAAACAGCAAGGGATGGCTTCTTTGAGACCCATTTACCAAGAAGTTCTTGGTGAGGAGAGATTGCAAGTTCATGGAGAACTTACCGTACAAGGAGTGGAAGGCGGAGAACCAAGCGAAGATTGGTGTGCGGCTTGGAGAGGTGAAGAGTACAGGTTTGGAGCTTGTGGAGCTGCCCTTGGAGCTGAGCAGCAGCAGCACAATCACGAGGCAATCTCCTC